GTAATACCCTTTCGGTGCCTAGCTGCCATGCCACCTGAAGGAAGCACAAGGGCTGGGATACTGACAGGTCGCCCAGGCCTAGACAGGGGAAGTCGAGTGGCAGAGGTAGGGTTCGAACCACGGACCTTCCGGTCAGTAAATTCGCTCTCTAACCACTTGGTCCATCTCGCCCCTGGAACACTAATGTAACTCGCAAATGAGTGACAATCACGACTACATCCGTGGCCCTGAGGAAGCAATGATTGAATCAGCCAAAACCACGCATATCCAGTGTAGCCAAGAATCTGCGATCGATTGGTCGATATGGGAGTCTTAACAATGCTTCACAACCATATTCGTTTTTAGGAATTTGATGTGTATCGCATCGAAATCGGTCAAAAAGTCCACGATTGTGCTGAGCAACAAGTGTTGGAGACTCTGGGTTCAACGATGGTGGAGAAACGATTGGTCATCGAAATTTTTCGCACACCATATACACAAACATGTCTCAACGCGAAAAAAAACTCAAAAAAAAAAAAAACATAAAAGTGGAGAAATAAGCGAATGAATTACCACAGAAGAACCACCACGACCAATTTCACCGAGAATCCAGTAAGGTTTCCCATTCACACGTAGGTGCCCGACGGAAAGCTGCACGCAGAGAAAAAGGGGGAGATTGTTGACAACGAGGAATCAGCCAGAACGCATCAACGAATATAAACAGAGTGAGGTGGCCATATGGGGTGGAGTTTCTCGATTGGTGCACGGGATCTATCAAAAACTCACGGTACCTACTGAAAAAAACGACCGGCCATCTAAATTTGACAGAGGAAAGATTTTGACGGCAACAGCGAGTTCGCAGAGCGGGGTGAACAAACTAGTGTTATTGTTGGATGCGTTGAATAAAACTCATAAAATCAAGATAACATGTACCATGTGCATGTTCAATCCACCTAAAGCTTACCCCTGGTTAGGATATGCAGGCAATGTCCGGAGCAATATGGGGGGTGTACGTTCGGCTGTGACGCCATTTGGTGCCTAGCTGCCATGCCATCCGAAGAAAGCATGAGGGCTGGGGTACTGCCAGGTTTCCCAAGCCTTGACAGGAAAAGTCGAGGTGCGGAGGCCGGGTTCGAACCACGGACATTCCGGCCAGTAAATTCGCGCTCTAACCACTTGGGCCATCTCGCCCCCATATGAGGTGTGCCTTCTACAAGCGGGATCGCATCGCTGAATGTCAGGGACGCAGGTTTAGCTTTCATGGACTGACTTTGATGTTCGTCCAATTTCAGCTGAGCAGTAATTTCGTTCGACTGGGCTGGCCCCTTACGGATATGAGACTCATTGAAGCTCAATCGTTTTGTGGTATCCCACGTTGATGAACTACTTTCTTATTCAGAGAGGAGAGGAATAGTCTCAAAGGTTATTCTCCGAAATTATTGTTGTAACCAATGGCCGACTAGATTGAAAATGGGATCAACCTGCTCTCCGTTGGTTGTCACAAAAGCTGCAGACTGATAGTGCCTAGGCTGTCCTGATCACCAGGAAAGCTTATACTTAAGGCCACAAGAGTCAAGTCAGATGAAATTTCAAATAAGACCTCACAGCTTATTCCTGTAACGTAAAGCCGCAGGTACATACATCAAACTTCGGTTAGCCTGATGACTGGTCAAGGTGACCTGGTTCGAAACATTGCCAGCACTCACTCATCGCGTGAATTTCAGGATTAATCACAGCTTCAGGAGGTGGAATTATTGATAAAATTCAGTGAAAGGATCCGTAACACGACAGGATTTATCCCACACACGTGTCTCACCGAACTGTGTTTTGTTTCTTTTATTCAAGGTAACTGGTCGTCTACACAAGCTACGGGGAGCCAACGGACACGTCAGGAGGAAACCCCAAATACGGGGTTTCTTTTGGAGGGAGATTTACTGTATTGGAGTTTGAGTTTGTTACTTGGTAATGACGGATTACTGTGGTATGATAATAAATACGCACCCAAAGGTTGAGAGAGAGAGTTGAGGTGAGAGTTCAGTCATCCAATACAACAAGTGCCCACTACAAGTATCGATTGACGATGACCTCAACCGCCAGTCGGGTGTGAGCGTTCATCGTTTTCATCCATCAACAACTCCAAGCAGGCTAACTCATCTATCTGTCGGCATCATCAACATCGATGAGTAAACCCGGCAACTTACCGATAAAGCACACAGGGTGAATGATGGACCCAAGCGAGTCTAGGTTCCCTACAGATACAGTGTGCTCACTGGCAAACTTGAATTTTCCTCATTGGCAGAGAAGGGATCTACCTGCACTGCGGTGAAGAGATAAGTTGAAGCAGCTTCACAGAGTATTCAGTGTCAGTATGAAAAATAGATAACTGTCTGCAGTGCCCCTCGAGCAACACACGGGGATTGTCGGTACTTACTTGATTTAACGGTGGAACGGTAGACTGGATACTGTGGCTAACTTCGCCCAACGTGCTGCGACCGAAATCCGACCGACTGGCAAGGAACGGATTGGCGGACGCCGAGTCAGATGCAGCGGCTAGAATGAGGGGAAATGTTGTAGGAAAGGTTTCTTAATTCAAGCGGCAACCGGGCTTGAACTAAGGTATTGTCGGAAAGATTGATTCCGATCGGATGCTCTTAAATATTCACTAAACTTTCGTACTTGAATTCGAATCCGAAACCAAGTGAACTTGCTTATCCAGATGTTAAAAATGACAGAACATGAGAGGATATCCTGGGGAAAAAATGGAGGAGAATCGACATCGTTCTGACTACTTAATCTAGCGCATACAACTTAAAACATTACTCCACTTGATGTCATCATCATCATCATCATCGACAGCATGACATCAGTGTTCAACACCGATGCTTCACTGCCGTACAACCATGATTTATTTGAAAGCCTTATTGTAAAGAAAAGA